CCGTTCTGTTTTACATTTACAAAATTCACAGCAATTATACCCTTCACCAAGGTCTAAGCTGCAATATTACCTTTGGTTGAATGATTCTGATAGGCTAAGAAATGACAGAAGCATATCTCCATCGATCAGAACTGCGTTTATGGTCACATGCTTGTCTGGAACAACAGTCAGTCAGTCTGCAATAATGCCAGTTGTTCCTTTACTTGTAACCAAATATACTAACACGCACATAGACACGCAGGTTGGATTTGGTCTGGCTCTAACTATAAACAGTAGACTCGTCCCAAAACATCAAGATAATATGTTCTCTCAGTGAGAGGACACTTTAATATTGAACAGTAAAGTAAACAATTTAACTAAAATTGTTAATATAACTTTTAATATCAATTAAACTATTGATTACAATGACCCCTGTGACCTATAGCTGTCAGGGTAAGCTAGAAACACAGATGTATTGACACATGTTTAGAGGCCTCTCTCAATTCAAACAAAACAAGTCCATATTTCACTCATGAAATCATTCAAAAGGATATATTGTATATTGATATATTGAAGAGACAAGGGACTCCAGAATTTCCCCCTTCAGTATATATTACGTGCAATAATTAATTATATGTTATTTTATCCCAAATCCACAAAAACCTGTTTTCGGAATGAACTGAATGTATCAAATGTGACTTTAAAGACAAATGTCACAAAAGACTTCTTTTACAAATAAATACTTTTCTTTTCAACATTGATAATAAGCACCAAATCAGCGTATTAGAATGATTTCTGAAAGATCATGTGACTCTGAAGACTGGAGTAGTGATGCTGAATAAATGACGTATTAAAATAGAATTAATTTAAAAAAAAAGTCATTTTAATTTGTAGTAGTATTTTGTAATATTACTGTTTTTACTGTGTAAATCTTACAGACCCCAAACTACTTGCATAAATACATGATTATTTATGGGTTTTCAATGCTCAGCAACACTAAAATGCTGCAAATATCAGCAGTTTTTTTTTTTTTTTTGTCAGAAAAAAGTATTTAGACATATTTAGATTATCAATATGTATTTTTCAGTGACCAGTTCTTACATTTTTAGTTCTGGCCCCCCTCAATTATGAATATTTGGTTACATCTTATATTATAATACTAAACTAATGTTGTTAATCTTAAGTGCATCTCTCTGGTTCTATGTGAATAAGCCTGTATGTCATTCTTTGCTGTCAGAGGCTGACTGCTTATCTCGACCTGAATCTGAACAAATGCTACATCATCGCCCTGAACACCTCTGTTGTCATGCCACCCAGAGATTTCCATGAGTTCCTGGTCAACATCAAGGTAAACAAGGAGACGCTGTGAATCCATGTCAATAAGTGGTTCTTAATTGTTTTTGCATGAATGTGTTGGTTTTTTTTTTTTTTTTCACACAAATGCATTTCAGACGTTAAGCCCGGGACACCCGAAACAACGTTCAGCCCTTAGGCAAGTTTGAGCATCAGTTTTTTCGGTGTGTTCCACACTCTGTTTTGGCTGATTCAACCTGTTGAATTGACGTCAGTGCATTCGATGAGAGAGAGAACTCAGACTGGCTGGTGTATGAGAATAAAAGAGAGATAAAAGCAAGTAACGAAGTGAAGTTTTACAAGATCTTACTGTAGCATTCGAATGCACAAAGTTTTCATAATAACATCAGCCGACTAGAATGAAGAAAGTGATCAGCATTATTGATATTCAAAATGATAAGCAAGCGCTGCTGTTTTTGGTTTGTATATCTCTGATCCACTGTAAAAAAAAAAGGTTGCTGCTTTACATTTTTAAGTTCAATCAACTTGAATGTTTAAGTCATTTCAATTTAAATTACGTTAAACTGAAAAAAAACAATCTTGAATCTTAAATAACTTTAAAAAAAAAGTTAAAATTGCTTAACTTATTTTGATGAGTTAAAGCAATGTAAAAACACGCTGCCATTACTTATTGATCATATAATATTTTACAGTGTAGTTTTGGTTTCCCTTTTTGAATGACTATACCTGATAGACTATACCTATACTATACCTTTGTGATAGACTATACCTGTTGATACATCGCCAGTTATCCTTTTTTTTATTTTGAAGCACAGATTTTTCAAACTAGAGGCAACAATAGTCATCTTTGGTTGCCGAGAGTTATTTGACATCGCCTCAGTGTGTCCCTGGCTTTAGGTTTACGTTCTCAACTTGTTTTTTTGCAGGCAGGAATGTATCTTCCTCAATCGTACCTGGTGCATGAACAGATGATGGTGACAGAGAAGCTGGACAGCGTCAGTGATCTGGGCTATTACATCTATAACCTGTGCAATGACAAAGACACGTACAGACTACAGCGCAGAGACACCATTCTGGGTAAGTGTACGCCAACAAACCGTTGATAAGACTGTGTTTACAGGAAACAGTGGTTATGTCTGTGCATAAATAAGTACTAATATGGGTGAAAAGGACAGTATTTTCTCTCATTATGTTCACTGTACAAGATCATACATTTGAAATATGCTGGCCTGCCATAAACTGAATACATGTAAGATCCAGTTTTACACCATAGCTGTGCATACTTTCAAACTTCTAAAAGCTGAATGTGCTTCACTGCAGGTATGCAGAAGCGTGAGGCTCTAAACTGCCACAAGATCCGCCATTTTGAAAACAAGTTTGTGGTGGAGACTTTGATCTGCGAGCCCTGAAGAACGAGAATCATACATGGGTGTCTCTGACAAAGCAGCAGATCTTCCACACTTTCTTTAATTCAGTGTAGCTGTTTGTTCTTCAGATTTTCAGAGGCCTTTTTTTTTTACATCTAAAATGTGAACTTGTCTTTTCTGCACCAAGAGTTTTATTATTTTTTTTTTTTTGTCATTTGTGTTATTTTAGGAATATTAAACTTAATAAAGAGTCAATATGTGCACAAGAACAAAAAGGATTAACAATAGCAATTTTAGCGTAGAAATCTAATCAGCATATGAAGAGTTCAGATGCAAAAGCCTCTAAATGCCATTTAAAATTTTCTTCTTTAATGATGATTTTTATCAAACTTGTATATTTAAGTTCAGTAATTTCACTTAAATAACAATTAATTGGTAATTATCATTGCCATTTAAGTGAAATCACGGAACTTAAATATACAAGCTTGATAAAAATGATCATTCTAGAAGAAAATTTCAAATGGCACTTAGAGGCTTTTGCATCTGAACTCTTCATATGTCATTATTACCCAAAATGCCATTATTATTGCCATTATTTGGTCTCAAGAAGCTAGTAATACATAAAATAAAGGCCTGGTTTCTGGTTTAATTTAACCCCAGTTTGTGGAACCAAGCCATAATGTCACAATAATGAGGTTTAAGAAATATTTTGTTTTAAATGGGATCAATAACCATACATACAAAGCACTTTCAGTTACATAAATAAAAATATATCACTTAGACATGCTTAATTTACCACAAACCTGAAATTAGTTTTTGTTCTTTGCTTATTTGTGTATAAGCTGTCTTTAAACAAGATCCTAAACTTTACAATTTTCTGTCTTTAATCATAAGCTCATGAACTCCATCTAAGAAAACAATAAATAACCATGACAAACATTTTCACTATATAAAAAACTATTTTTATAGATGTCTTAAAAGGATCAAAAGTCTATGTAAAGACATCTACAATGTAAAAAAAAAAAGATGTCTGTTTCAAATAAATGATGGTTGTTTGTTCATTAAAGAATCCTGGAAGAAGTTTCCATGTGTCATGTGATAATGAATGGCTACTAAAAATTCAGCTTTGCTTCACAAGAAATATAGAAATGTAAATATTTTGTGTGGCATGTATGAGCATCAACATTGAGAAAATGTCATGTAAGTCACATGGCATATCCAGCCAAGCAGAGGTCACTGAGTTACCAGTGAGCCGAACAACTGCCAAACTAACCAAGTGGTACTCACAGCAGCGCCATAGCAGCCTCTCAGACCAACCACTTCCCCTGGGTTTTATGGCATGAAGAGCTGAAATGGTGTCAAATGGAAGAACTCACCCCTCTGGTGGCAAAAGCAAATTCCTGCATTATTTTGAACTAAAAGTTAAGACTTAACAGAATAAAATGAAGACGGCCTGTAAACTTGCATACATCTCCCTAAACATTGTAAGAACTTGCAACAACAAAACTGAAACTGAAACCTTGTGTACTTAAAGCAAGTTCAAATTACTTTAGCCAAACTGACAGCTGTCACTCAATTCATTGAAAAGGCTGTTTGAAAAGGTGTAATTTATTTGAAGATACTGGACTGAGGATGTGGAAATTTCAGCATTCATAAACAAGTTGGCTGATAATGTTTATGACCTGTAGACTTTGAGGTTTCCTCCAAGATAATATCCGTCAAACCCCCGAACGGCTCGCTTCAGACTGGTTAACCAGAAATGGCTAAATACAAAAAAGTGAGCGTTTGGCTGATTCAATCAGAGGCAGAGTGAACTTTTTCAGCTAGATTTCTTAAAGAACTTCATGTAAATACCTTCTGATGGGGTCCATCACAGTGGAGGCTTTCTTGATGAGACAAGAAGGTGGAAAAAAAAAAAAAAAAAAATACGGTCAACATCTCAAGAGGGTCAAGATCATCACTTTTCAAGATCGGCACATTTCTTCATCCGTGAAACCGAAATTCTCTTTCCTCTAAAGCAAAAAAGGCACAGAAGCATGGTATACTGGCTATGTCTGCATTTTGTGGTCACAACATTGGATTTATTTGTACGAGATACAAAAATGTAAACATTGCAAAATAAATAGTTAAAACAAGTGATGCAGGACCTATATTCATGCTCATGATCCCAACATGAACTAATGCACTTGTCTTGCTTGCATTTTCAAGTGCAAAAGCATGATGACAAAAAAAAAATAATAATCTAGGATTCAAGTAACAGAAATGACAGACTAATGATACAAATATACTATTTTACAAGGTAGTGATAATTCCCAATTTTACAAAATGTACACTTATAATATTGACAAATTTCTCGTAATATTTTGATATGCTGCTTTTGGGTACAAGTCCGTGTAGAAGCGCACAGATCTCAGCACTGAAGTCTTTTTGTTTCTGATGGGCTATGTGACCTCCATGGCGACTGTGGTCTCTGATAATCCGTTGAGAGCCAGCCTCTCTGGTTCGTGATTCTCCCTGGAAGATCAATAAAAATATAGAATTTAAAATTTTCATTTTAAATGCAAAGATATAAGACGTTATCGTTCAAAAGTTTGAGATTAGCAAGATTTTGTTTCTTGGGAACAATACTTCAGGGTCCACAAACATTTTTACCAATGTTTTTTCCATGACTTGAGGCAAATATTCCCATTCCATGAAAGTCTATATATATTAACAAAAAAGTAAAATCACATCTAACATTTTTATATAATAATGAATTCACATTTGATCTTCAAATTAATAGAAACAACAGACACAGTAGCCTTTATTTTAAATATTGGTTTAAATTGCTTTTTTTTTTTTTTGAAAGGCCAGAATTACAAAAAAAAAAACAATATTATATTTTTTTCTTCTCAAATTTAGCCATTAATTATATAGGTATAATTGAAAGGCCAGAATTACAAAAAAAAAACAATATTATATTTTTTTTCTTCTCAAATTTAGCCATTAATTATATAGGTATAATTGAAAGCTATTAATTTTAAAATTTATTAGGCTTTAAAAAACTTTTTTAATTTAAGTAAATAAAAACAATCTTCACATGAACCCATTATAATAAAGGTCACATTTGCCTGTGCCCTTCAATACATCAGGGCTCAATTTTTTCTATTGGCCCAGTCAGACTGGTTCAGATTTTTACTTGCCCTGTCACAAATGCACAAAATTTTTTCACTGTTTTTGACCCATGTAACCTTGCAACGAGTGCTTTAAGTAGGATGCTTTCAAAAAATTAATAAAGTTTTCAAACACTTCACAGTCATCATCCTTAGATAGATTAATCCTTTTTAATGCTACAGAAGTTATTCAGTCAAGAACAATACACATTTCCTCACAACTCTTTACGTTCATTAAAGACTTGGATAAAAATGGGTTTTTGTATGTTCGTGAGCTGTCTAAAGCGGCTTCCTTTGTGCATGAGTTGTGTGTGTCACACAGATTAGCGCCAGCACTGCATTATCTTTTGTGTCTTAATCGAAAAGATTAGCAAAGATTAGAAACATTTGCATGAATAAGAGCGTGATCATATAAATGTAATGCTAGCCAAAGGATGAAAAAAAAAAAAAATTGCATGCATTAACACATTCATTTTGACAATGGGGTATTTTTTTTTGTGCAATAACTTACAGCACAAGGAAGCTTGATTTCAAATTTTTAACTGACTTTACAAACAGTCATTAAAATAAGAACAATTATAAAACAGATAGTTCCAGTACTGGATTCTGATTGGTTGAGTCATGTTCAAAGCTGCTGTAAATTACTCTACAAACATATTTTTTGCTACTGTGTGTTTATTTTGTGAATAAAATAAAATATAAAATAAATATTTGTATGGAGTAACCGTAATAAGCCCTGTGAAGCAGTGGTTTATAGTGAATTTAGAACAATCCACGCCGCGCCTCATAAGGCCCCCCTTAGCCTAAACTGCAAGCAGTAGCACAAATAAACACAATAGAATAAAGATACAAACTAAAGAGTTCCTAACCGGAGATATATTTAACTCAGTGAAGAAAATACACATACTTTTTGGGGATTTTAATGTTGCGATTTTATTAATCTCAATTTCTCACAACTTGTGTGTTTTCTGGGCGAGTCAGAGTGATTTGCAGCGCTTATAGTCATGAATGTGCAGTCCAGGCCAGGGTATCTGCAGGGTTTTTAAAATCAAATACTACAATTATATATTCAATCCACCAACTGAATAAAAATGTGATTTCACTCCGACAGGAGGTGGTGCTAAAGGAAGAACAGAAATATTACAGTTACAACTCTTACGACTCTGGGCGCCAGAGTCATTGTCAAAACCTCTTGAGGTGTCGTGGGCTAGTCGACGAAACACTGAGGGCGGAAGGTACTGACTTGAAGACCCTAGAGATGTCCCCTACTCTGCTCAATCCAGACAAAATCAACATATGGAAGGCAGCGTAAATGGATGGAGAAGCATAGTTTACTGTAAAGCTATGTTTTAGTTTGTGCTTATCTTGGCGAAATCAGAGTACAAATCAGCATGAAGTTTTAACATCTACTCTCGTGTAATAGAAATCATACACACACATATCTCCTTTTGTAGTCCGAAAGTAATAAATAAATATTGATACTTGAATTCATTTTCACCCTCCCCCCAAACATTAAAAAAAAAGAAAGAAAAACAAATGTAAAGTGAATAAGTCCTGTTTCAGGTTTCAGACCTGGCGATGTCGATGGCACTAGTGGGGGTGACTTTAGGTACCCGGTCCAGACTGCTAGCAACACTGGCCAGCTTTAAGGCTGAGGGTGAAGGGGCACATAGACGTGCACTGTGGTGTGTGTGGGCAGGAGACACAGCGCTCACTGTACTCAGGTGCCCGTGGCCGTGAGGCAGAGACTGAGGGACGGGCAGCTGAAGGCCAGATGCACTCGTCATCCGTACTAAAGAGCCTGACTCGCCACCACCTGCAGAACGGTTCAATTTGGCTTGTCTAAAACTTCCTGCAAGAGACAAAAATGATGATTCCCCAAAAAGTTCTATAATGCAGTTTATTTTTAATTATATTTATTTCAATATATAACTGGCATATTTAAAGATTTAATATCTTTATAATAATATAATATCTATATTTCAATGCCTCTGCTC